ACCAAAAGAGAAATATATAAAGCCAAGGAAGATGTTACTTGGTTAAGATTAGAACTGGAACAGGCTTCTTCTGGAGTCGAAGTTTTACATGTAAATAAAGAATCCGAGAAAGAACTCATAAGGCACTTAAAAGATGATTATATCACGATGGAAGAGGGACGATCATGTTTGGATTCATTAGAAGATAATATTATTAATCCTAAAAATACAGATCAATGGAAGATAATTCGGGTATTTTTTGTTATTAAATGTTTGTAGAAATCAAACCTGTAACCATGGATTCCCCTGTACGTTCGTTGTCTGACAAAGACCACACCAATATACTAGAACAATAATCTTTACTAGACTTATGGTACAGTACAGTACATGCATTTGGAAGCTTAATCCCATTCCACTAAAAGGAATCTTCCTACTCCTCGGTTCTTCGTCTACCAAAAAAAGCAGAAGTTTCTTTCTCTACCTTGTTACTTCCTTCTCCTTTTGTGTGAATTTCTATGAATTTATTAGTTTGTCCATGTAACAAGTTTTGGATTTTATCACCCCAACATCTCGTTTCACTCTACCCGTGTCTCCTCTGCTCTACCCCCTCTGCAACTGCCTTTTCATGGCTCTGCATATGGAACACATTGACGTGCTTGACTGCACGGGAAATGCCCTATCTTCAATCTCCGCATTATTCGTCTTTTTTTTATCTGCATCGGCCATAAGCTGGTTAACTACTCAACAATCAATAACTAGAGCTTACTTTTTCACAACACAAGTTTAATATAAATGAATATTCCTACAAGAAATTTCAAATTTTCTTCACATAATAAAGAATCTTTTAATTATTTTGAAATTCTTTACCATAGGAAATAAATGAACGTAAACATGAATTGGAAGAAGTAAATAAACGTCTTTTAGAATATACACACCAGATACAAATGAAAAAAATGGCGCAAAATTTTAAAATGTTTGAAAATGAAATAATTCAAGACGAAGTTTACCTTTTGCTAACGGGAAGAGAGAAAAACCTGGATATATTTAGAAATTTTAATGAAACCTATCGTTTAATTACAATGAAAACAAATCAATTAAATGTTTGTAATTTTAATTATCTTTATTTTTATATCTAAATGTAATTAAATATCTAAAAATATTTATTTTTACTAAGGGGTTATTGACCGAAAAGAATATGATCTACACTTTATTGCACAACGAAATCAAAGTTAAAGCTGAATTATTAAATAAAATAAAAGTTTTAAAAAATGAATATTTTAACAGTAAAAGTAAAGTAAAATTTTGAAGTGATTGTTGTAATGTTATCTGAATTTATATGACGAATAAACAAAGTTAACAAATATTATTAAATCGATAGTCCTGTCGTTGATTGGTCGGGCCTTCGACTTTCTTTAACACAGGAAATACAGCAAGTGTGCGTTCTTTTATTTCTCTGCGTAACTCTGCGCCAGCGGCATTCGTTTAAAAATTCTTGCGTGATTCGTTCCTATATTTCGACCGGAGTTCCCTTCGTCGGACGGCAAAAACGGCCACATGTAATAGTAGTTTAAGGTGGAAAACAATATGGCGTTTTCCGTGGCTCTGATAGTTTCGTTTCGGGATCCATTATGTGGTTGTATGAACGAAAATTTTGGAAGTTGTAAAAGCGCGAATTAGTGCACGCGGTCATGTAAGTGTCTTCGAATTTTTTTCGATGCTTCATCAGAGAGATAATCTATTTTATGGTTAAATTTTACAATTGGGACCCTTCTTTTGTTCATAAAAACGCATATTTTAAAATCATAGATCTCTCCATTACGACACTATTTATAGTACGGGCGCCGCCATTTTTTTTCTTTCACCGTCGTTTCTAAATGTCTACAAACAGCGCACTCCCGTAGTAGCTGAGCGCAGAGCGACCGCCATTAACGAACGCATTCGAAGTTGATCATCTGTGGTCGGATCTGCCGAGTAGCTTGTTCGAAAACCGAGTTATTGTATNTACTTTGTTGATAGTATCTAGTGACAGTTGGGCAACACCTTCCAGGATCTCAGAATAGGAAATGTAGCAATTTTGCCAAAACATTTTCTTCTGAACATGGATAAAGAATACTTTTTTTGGATCCAGTAATAATTTTGAATTGGAATTGATGTATAAGTTGATTTTGTGATTTGCAATAAAGTCCATTCCAGTATTTGCTGTGAAAAATATTTAATTAATGAAGTTTACACAGTTGTAGCTGCTTTATAATAATATTAATTAGCTAAATTACTTTAAATTAGAACAATGCCTATGTAGTTTGCGTGATGAGAGATTTCCCTGGTCAATACTAACTGCCTTTTTTTGGGGGAGATAAGGTGACCGGATGGATAGTATACATGCTGATGTTGAAAAATCCAGCAACCTCCAGACCTGAGGAGTGCTGGATTTTTTTATAGTTACATATGTATGTATTTAACAGAAAATGAATACCTGTATAATCATTTAAAGAAAGAAAATTAATCACTAAATGAAAAGCAAATGAAATTTTAATGTTCATTAACTAAATAAAAGAGTTTTACAGAATTTTAGTTAGGCGTATCCAGAAAACTGGTGCTCTGATGCGGTAAATTTGAAAATGCTCTTTGAAATCCGTACCGGAAATCGGAAGAAAGCAGAGTTTTGAATGTTGACCTGTACTCTGTATCAAAACTTTACTGATTTTTTTACTTCATTTTGGGGTTCGGTTAAACTTGCTTGGAACTTGAACCTCAAATCCCAAGACTGAAAAATATGCATGACTGACTATTAATTAATTAAATCCACAGATTGCCCCTCTAGTCCTTTCTTACTTTCCCAATCATCACTGAAGCTAAAGAGGATTCGTTTTTGTTCACAGAAATGATCTTTTCCAGGAAAAATCGTGTGTTATAAGTGATAAAATTTGCATAGTATAAGTACTTGTGTATCAAAATTACCACAGAAGTATCTCTTCTTGTAACACCATTTCTAAAATAGGCACATTTAGTATTGGCCGAGTGCAAACTACTATACAGTATCAAATAAACTGTCAAACAATAAATTCTACTTGAATAGTTAGATTCAAAAATTCTTGTGTGAAATATCAAAACACTGATAATCAGGTGAGAAAAATGTTTAAACACTTTTCTCACCTGATTATCAGTGTTTTGATTGTTGCATTATAGAAACTAGTGAGTTGTGCCCAAAGTTAGTTGCACAGAGCGTTCTATCTGTTTATCAATTTTCAATCATTCTCCCAATGTCTGCTTGAGTCGTCCAAACAAATGGTAATCAGATACTGATATGTCTGGGCTGTATTTGGTCAAATACAGCCCAGGTCCAACAAAGTTCTCGATGCATTTGCATTAATTTCTTTTTAATTAGAGTGTCGTTGTATAGGAACAACATGTTTCAGACTGGATACCTCATTCTTTAGACTAATAATCTTCCTTGACTTTATCCAACAGTTTGCAATAGTAAGCAACATAGCTGTCCTTTGTTCATTGAGGAAATCAATGTATACACACTCTGTAATTCCAAACATAGTGACAAGAACCTTATCCACAATTTGGAACATAAAACGTGTAAGATTAAGACAGTTTATCAGAATAATTCGTGAAGACACTATTTAAATGAGTTGCGTAACTTTCCCAGCATAGACATTTAAATTTGGGTATGCCGCCATCTGTTAGGATGTTCTATTAAAAAACTTTATGTACTACTAATTATTATAAAATGGCAAAAAGCTTAATTTTTAGGTTATAAATCAGTTTTATTTTTTAAATGCTAATGAATAATGTAAATGCTAAGTGGGAATTTGTGTCCAAAAGATTTTTTTAAATAAAATGTCCTAATAGATGGCGACACACAATTTTATAATTTGGCCGGGAAAGTAAAGCAACTCGTTGCGAGATTTATAAAATTGTCAATACAGTATTGATTAATTATTATGTTAATATTGAAAATATTAAAAAGAAATTTTTCGCTTCAATATGTCCTGTTAAAATATACATAACAATATAGCATATGTTACCTATAGGCCTATATATTATAGGCTGATGCTTGGTGCTACAATTATGCTCTACGTCTCTGACTAATTACAAGGTTTTTAATTAAAATATATTTGAGGTGGAGCGTTAGCGAAGTCTCTTCTATGTGGCTGAGAGAGTTGCATTCATTCTCAATATCTGTTCCATCGATTTTGATTAAACTTTGCCATATCACATTAATTGCGATGAAGAATCCAAAAATGTTATAAAAATGTGTGTCCGTGTGTTCGTTTTCAAGATATTAGGTTGTAGCACTAGCGCTTGCGACAAAGCGATATCGCACGAATCTCTCGACTTTGTCGTGCGATGTTTCAAGATCGCTAGCACGTTTTCTATGGGCTTATAGAATTGAGTTTCTTCTCAAAATTTAATGAGCCATTTTTTATTAAATGCAATGGGGAATTCAAAACTGTAATGAAGGGCCATTTAAATATAAAAAATGGGAGTCCATGACCAGGGCCGCCGTAAGCGGACGTGCAAGGCGTGCACCGCTCGCGGGCGGCACGTCCAGGGGGCGGCAAAGAGCCTTTCTGGCAAGCTTAGCATAGGTAATCGTAGTTAAACAGGGGGCGGCATAATCGGTATTGCACACGGGCGTTCAAACAGCTAGCGGCGCCCCTGTCCATGACTTTGTTTTCAATATACAGTATATATGTCAATCTGCTTTCTAAAATGTACAATATACACGTGATCTCACATTTTTTACAAATTTAAAAAATTTATATTTTGATTCATTCTGAAAATAAAAGTCGATATTTTTAATTAATGTATTACAGTAAGTGCGGTTGGAGATATAGTTATTTGAATTCTTTCTCTTTTCCTTGGAGAAATATATAAATGAAGAAGTTGGTCTTTTAGGGAGTTTCCTTTTATTTTTGAATTTCTTGAAAGTCTCAGTAAAACTGTGTACACACTAGGCGTTTTTAAACGCGCGTTAGCTCGGCGTTCGACGAGCGTTTTCGGAGCGTACGCACTGGCTCAGTTTGGAAATGGACGTGAAAGTAATTGCTCGTGTGCCCCTCCTCCATCGTCGCTATAAAAGACGATGGCAGAGGCAAAGAGAATTTTGGGTGCACCCAATATTACGAGATAGACTGACACATGGAACGTTTGCGACGTTGTATCCAAAACTAAGACAAAATGAACCCAAGTTTTTTAATTTTTTTAAAATATCTATAAAATCCTTTGACGATGGTTGGTCTCTTTTAGATTTCATTAATAAATAGATCCGTATCGAAATGATCGTTCTCCATTTCAGCACATATATCTCAAAGCGCCCGTAAAGCGCCCGCAAAACGCGCGTTTTAACAAAAATATATAAACGCGCGTTTGGCCAAAAGCGCGCGTTTTAGTGTGTACGCCTATATAGAACTCTTGGTTCTTTAAAACGCGCGTTGAAAAACGCGTAGTGTGTACACAGCTTAATAGATTGTTGTTTCTCTTTTCTCTTTGTTTCTTTGTTGATTGGTTAATATGGAGTGTTTAGCACATATAGGCTATATACTCCGATAGAGCGAGGTTTTGAACGCCTGGCGTCCGATGAGCCGGCTTTATAGATGGAATGACCATACGTGCGCGGGGAAATAATGCCTTCCGGGGAGACTTTCATGGGAAACTAGCCCCTATTCAGGCGTCATCGCCATGGAGAAAACCCGGAAAACTCCATGCTGCCAGCCCGTCCGAGCGAGGCGCGAACCCCCGACCGAACTCCCAGTGTACAGGATCTAGTCCACTCAAGTGCGGGGACGGAGTCTACTCGCAGTAATAGATTGATTCTTCTTGGCGGCTTTTATTGGAAAGATGTTTGTTACGAGATGTCCATTTAGCGCAATGTCCATGCGCATGCGCAAAAACTACTTGATTTCAAGAATTTATAAAATTTATTTTAAATAAATTAATATTTAATTCGCTTTTGTGGAGCGTGCTATCAGATCGGCTTGACCAAACTTATCTTAATTAACGTAAATATTCAATTTATTAACAACAGATTATTACTGACAGGTGGCACTTTCATTATTATTTTTTTTTTTGTTGAATGAAAATTTTAACTGTATTATTTACATTTCAATTATTATATTCTTATATATATTTTAACATATATTATTGTTACAATTTTATTTTCAATTAAGACGCCGACAAAAGAAAAAAATATTAAACAAGATTTAAAAATAAATTAATTAAATTTTACATTACGGAGTGCGCATGCTTGTTTTTATACGAATTGTTTGAACCTGTCTTTGGGTTGCGATAATATAAAAACATTTTAAACAGAGTAATTTTTTAAAATATTACATCATCGAAGATCACGTGTTCTATTTTAGAAAGAGAAATATTTTAGTGTGGAGATATAAAACAAAATGTAAAGCAAGACAATAAAGCTGAATTAGAAATTGAAAGGAGCAAAGATTCACTTTGGGATTGTTTATTGTTACATCACAATGGAATGTCCAGCTTTGCCTAAAGGATGGAAGAGAGAAGAAGTGATCAGAAGAACTGGATTATCTGCTGGAAAGATTGATGTTTATTATTATAGGTATATAGATTATAATATATTATTATTTTTAAGTGCTTATAGACTCAGTGTGCTATGCATATAACAAAATATGGTAGAAGTTACTTTTAGGTCATTTCATTTATACATTTACAGTATACAGGGTGACTGGACATGTACAAAAACTCTTAGGCTGATTCTTTGAATGTTATTGATTGTAAAAGTACGTATGAAGGTTCTGTTAATGGGACGCCGGTTGTAACTTGTTTGTTTGTTTGTTTTTTAAGTTATGGCAATGCAACACTTGGGGGAATGCCTTCTGGGAGGTCTTTTTAAGGGAAACTGGCCCCTATTTAGGCATTACAGACGTGGAGAAAACCGGAAAACTCCACATGGCCAGCCTGTCCAAGCGAGGCATGAATCCACGATCAAACTCCCAGTTAGTGTTGCCACCCATCCGGTTTTCACCCGGACAGTCTGGGAATTGACTCACTGTCTGGGTGAACTATTAATTTTGTCTGGGAATTTCATAGTGTGAAATTATGATGAAACAAAGTTCTTGCAAATATTTTTATAAATTTATACTATTTGAACAGCGAAAGAACTCACAATCACTGAAACTCTTCTGCAATTCTGCCATGTTAGTCTGTGTGTTTACACCAATGTGTGGCGCGCGACCTGTCGACTTTTTTTTTTTTTTTTCATGTACGATCATACACGTCTCCAATATCCAATAGAGCTGTCATATGTACTTGTTCTTTCTTAATTTAAGGTTACTTACATTACTCCTACGCAAGTCCCTAGTCCCTAACTGTAACTGATTTAGAACTGGTATGCACGTTATTCTTTGCATTGTAAAATGACATCCAGAGCCGGCCCTACCATAGGGCGAAAAGAGCAGCCGCTCCAGGCGCTAAGTCCTAGGGGCGCCTCAGTGGTAAAGAAAATTAAAGGGTATAAATTTGGGGGCAACCAAGGGCAGTGGCGTAGTGAGGGGGTGCATCAAGCACCGGGCGCCACTCGCAGAGGGGCGCCCAAATGGTCTCCAAGACAAACTATATGTGTTCTGGAGGGGGCGCCAATAAAGTGTCGTGCCCCGAGCGCCAGTTATGTTCGCTACGCTACTGACCAAGGGGGCGCCATAATAGGATCTCGCTCCATCCTAAAACTTACCTCGGGCCGGCACTGATGACATCGCGCATGCATCAGTAATTTCTGTTCGAACAAACCTGATCTGCTGTCCGGGTCAGCGATTTGAAAAGGTGGCAACACTACTCCCAGTGTTCAGGGTACAAAGACCACTCGGCCACTGGTGGGTCCGGTTTGTGCCGACTTTGAGTAGCCTGCTTGACTTTGGAGTACTTGAAGTTATATAGTTTTAGGGGGTGTGTGAGCTGAGATGCGAATGGTGAGCATTGAGGGACACGTCTACATGCAAAGCATGTAAAATAGGCAGTATACTGATATGTGTTAAAAACTGACCTTTGGAGGAGAATATCTGGCAAAAGTTAAATAATTTTGAAGGCGGTGTGAAACCCCTCATTCGGAGCTTGAATCTTACCTGTTATTGTATGTATTGACTTGCTTTTTTACAAATTTTTTTATAAAATACAATGGAATGGGTTTTTAGGAAAATATATTAATAAAAAGAAAGATAAATTTCTTGAAAATGTTGAAAGAAAAATAACACAAAATACCATGACACTGTCAATTCAAACACAAATGTTTCTTCAAAAACCTTGTACAGGGAAAATGATGCAGCAAACAAACAATGATAGATCCCTTAATAATTTGTTAATAAAATCTGGGGATCTGCTGTCAGTGTGAAGCTGCCAGAGTTTAACAGGCTACATTTAGACTTTTCCACTAATTGCACACAGTGGTCTGGACAACTCTTTGCCAGTTTCTGTCCGATCACAAGTCTACATCAAAATAGTTTGAATTTATTTTTCCTTACTCAATGCTTATTCCATGTTTTACCTGTAAAAGAAGGAACAAAGATCAACATAACTCCTATGGTTCCAGACTTACAGGACACACTGCTAATGTCAAGTAAATATTTGTATTTGTTAAAACTCATCTTAATATTAATATTTTACTTCAAAAACTATATAAATATAGACAAATTTAAGAGTGATTTTAAATTAAAGTTTGTTTCAATGATTGAGTAATAATAATTTTAGTTTCTTTTTTAATTGTAAAGATTCAAATCAAGGTCCATACATTTGCATACAGTGTGTTTATCTGTGTGTGTGCACACATGCATTTCGATCAAGATATATATATATATCTTGATCCAAATATATATACATATGTATGTATGTATGTATGTATGTATATATACATATGCATATATGGACAAGTTTAAGCAACCAAATATGGGTTATACCTCCAGTTTTAAGCTTTTATGGCCCTAATGTTTTGGTAAAGTGAAGCAGCAACCCACAGTGGACAAATAGATGTTAAAAGCATGTGAAATTGAATTTGAATATATAATTTATTCTAAGTAAATGATAAAGCATCACATCAAACTGCTTTCTTGGGAATCAAAAGTCTAAAGACAATAAATGGCTTTCTTGATGTTGCAACTTTGAATTCAGCTGTTCTATTTTTCGTTGTATGTTTCAAAACAGATTGCAACAAAGGTCGTGTTGGGAATCCAAACAATTTTTTGTTTTTGTCTTGATGGCTACTAAACAAGAAAATTCTGCTTCATAGAAATAAGTTGTTGGAAAAGACAGCAGTGCCTTCAATGCTTCAAAAGACAGAACTGTCTTTTCTGTTAAGTGAGTCCAAAACTCTGATATGGATACTTGCTGTAACCACCTTTCTTGTAGAATTTGATTTCCTGGAGATTGACGAATTCTTGAAATCTAATAATCTCATCAACAATTTCATTGGCATTCACTTCAAATAGATTTCTCACAGTTATGTTTCTGTTATGTCTCATACAGTCAACAAAAAGTTGACATTCTCTAGAAAATAAGGTCTGGTGCACACATCCAGTTTTTAAACATATGGTGCTGTTGTGGTGCTGGAATGCCAGTGCAAAAATAAATAAATAAAGTAAAAAAAATAAATATTTTTACTGTGAAATGATGAACAGAATGCATTCTGCTGTCATCAGAGCTGGATGTGTATTAAAGAAAATGTGTAATTTTCACTTACTGCCTATCTGACTTATAGTATTTCACACCATAATTTTAGTGCCATAGTGTCACAGTATGCTTAAAAACTGGATATGTGCACTGGGCCTAATCATCATTTTTCCAGAAGTTTCATTAAATGATTCTGAAATACTTTGTTGATAGTATCTAGTGACAGTTGGGCAACACCTTCCAGGATCTCAGAATAGGAAATGTAGCAATTTTGCCAAAACATTTTCTTCTGAACATGATCTTTTCTCCAATGCCAAGAATAGTCCATAGTCAATCCTATGTATCAGCATTTAACTTATTTAGATGATAGATATCACTCAAATAAGTCACCTTTGCTATCCATTCTTCATTCTGAAACTTTTAGCCAACATGTAGTTTTTCTCTCAAAAATATTTTGACTTCTACTTTTAGTGACAAAAGCCTTATAATACTTTGCCTTGAGCCTTTACCAAATCTTGGAAAAATATATGAGATGTCGATATTTGCTTTCTAATTCTTTGCACAATGAATATTAAAGAGTAAGGTGCCTTGAACTTGAAGTTTACATAATGAAATGATAATTAAAATGAGAAATAGGAGATTTTTCATAAAAATGAATACATAAAGCTCTATTAATTTAATTAGTTTAAACAAGATTTTATAATTGTTATACAATTTTATAGAATAGAATGATACAACCTATTTTAAAGTTTTACAGTCTGGATAGCTTTGAAAACAGATTGTGGATCAGATTGAAAGTCTTGTGTTGCCAAATGCAGATTTTCATATTAAAAACTCCAAACTACACCTTAACAAAAATTTAGGCATTAAATTTTTGCTCTTTACTGGATTAAAGTGTAGTTTGGAGTTTTTAATATTAATTACATTCAGTATTTAAAGACTGGTTTACTTCAAATTTTCTTGTTTTACTCAAGCACAAAATCCCAAATGGCTTTCCATCTTTATGGACACTCCATCCACATAAAGTGCGACAGTTTTTCCAAAGCAGATTATGTTCTAAGAAAAAATTGTCAAAAATATTCTGATCAATTGTTGTAGTGCTTAATGGTTCACAAAACAAAATTTCTCCACATATCATTACTTGTTTTGCATCTTATGAAAACCACAAGTTGCAAGTTGTCACTAGTATCAGCAGACTCATCAACTTGTATTGAAAACTTTTCATAAGTTTTCAGCTCATTAGTAATATATTCTAACATGATATCAGTTCTGTTCTTTACAATCAGAAAGTGGAACAATTTTAATTGCAATGGGCTTGACAAACTTTTTATTGATACTATGAGGAGTTTTGTAATGCATAATTTGCCAAGTGACTTGAAATGATGTCTTTGTTATTCTTTCTAGAGAAACCATTGTTGATATGGTGTATTTAGTGTCATGTGCTTCATATGTGCCTCCTTTTTTTTCCAAAACTTAAGTGGCTTATTGACAAATTTTGCATGTAATGTTGTGAAATAGTACTCTTGTTTACTTTCAAAAATTTGTTTGCTAACACTTGAGTGTTGCACTAACATGATGCTAAGAAGCAATTGCACATATTGAAGATAGTAATGCCACTGATCTGTCACTTCTGAGTTTTAAGAACTTGAGTTTGTATAATAAAATATGCTTGACCATTTTACAATAACTTTACTGAAGTCAGAGGTGAAAGAAATGCATCAGAAAGTGAGACAGTGTATCTGCAATTAGGAAGGAAATTTAGCTTACTAATGATTACCTAATGAAATACTGTCGATTGTGTTTCCCCTGTGGCTATATTCAGGCTCATGATAACTAACCTATCAATATTCAGCTCATGATAACTAACTTTTTTCCCGCTCAACATGCTTGACAAATAAGGCTTATGTGGGTTTGTTGATATGAGGATCCTGTTTTTATATAAAAATTTAACGAAAACATATGGCTAGAAACTTTCCTTTTTACTGCTCGTTTCCCACAAAGTAAAAACAGGAAAATAGTAAATATTAACGTAACTGTCAACAAGTTCTTTCCCCTTTGCACGAATTTAACAAAAATATGTTATAATGGTCGACTGTCAAAAGTGAGAAAGTTGATGATTAACTTAGTCTAGGGAGGAAATCTATAAATAATCACTGACAAACAATTGTGTCACACTACCAAACAAACGGTCACCTGATCAGATTCCCTCGCTAAATCCCATATAACAACAGTGCATCCAACTGTCGCAGCGATCAGTCCCTGAGGAGTAGACTTGACTTGGTGAATTGTGACTTTTTGCCTTTCTCTCTGCTCCCATCCAGATATGGGGCCACCTGGAATTTTACCTTGACTAGATCCACAATCATATTACCAACATCAAATGAACAGGATCTGGAACCATCAAGTCACGAGGTATTATACTCTTGATTTTAAACTCTCTCTCTCTCTCTCTCTCTCAATTGTTTAGCATTCGAGTTAGGGCCAATTGTAATAATTATAAATGCCTATAGTCTAGGTTAGGGGTGGTGAACCTATGGCACGCGTGCCCAAAGTGGCACATAAGGAGAAATCATCTGGCACGTAATGTATCATACAATTTCTGTCTCTTTCAATCATGTTTTTGGTTTATCACCTGATCATCCTTTTTTCAATCAGCTTTTTTACATTTATTCTAATTAAAGCGTATTTGTTTAATTTCTTTAAATATTGTTATTTGAAGTCTGAAACTTTGGCATGCATAAACATCTTTAAAGCTAAGTATGCTTACAATATGGCACGTGAACACAAAAAGGTTCGCCATCCCTGGTCTAGGTCATTGACCTCTAGCATAGTAATGCATAGATATAATTGTATCTGTTGCTTGTATGTTGTATCTTAAGCTTTATTTTTCTATTAAACTTGTTGAATTTTAAAACGGTTGTTCTCACTCATGTATCACCAATGCCCTATTGACTTACTCCACGTGACTTCCCCACTTGACTTTTTGCCCTCCTAGCCATCCAGTGACAACGTGAGCAGATCCTGCCATTCTGTTGCCAATAAAAGGGGTTTAGAGTTTGACTCTCTACCTCCTGGCTTCTCACATTGACATTTGACAGCATTTATATTCTCATGAAATAAAACTGTGATATCATCCAACTTGAAAGTTTTATCATGATTTGCAGTTTACCTTTGTTCAAAGCTTTGGCTTGGTTCCAGGCTAACTTAGGTTACACTCCTGCATGTTGTAGTAGTGGTAGATGTAATATGGTGTGGTTGTTTGTAACAAGAGATTTGTAAGTCCGCAAATAAACGATACAAATAGGAACACAGGAACAAAAACATGTATGATTAAATAGTTCTTTAATGCTCTCTAAGCATGGTTCGTTCTTCTTGTTTTTTTATGAAGATTCCAACTTAACGGGTTCCTTTACCCTATAATCCTCACAGGGAAATAGGTCGCCTCCTATTCACGTACAAGTATATAATATATGCACGCATAACACAAAACCTTGATAACCAACTTAAAAACTAATCTTATGTCTAACTTAAAACTAATATAACAGGGAAATGATTATACTTAGGAAAGTATAGAAAGTATAAAGAGATAGATAGAGAGTACCCAGGTCCATGTTGATTGATTGATATGTTTGGGGAGGTGCCCTTTCACAGACATAATCTTTTATTCTTCTTTACTGATTCAGCAATTCATTTTTGAGGTTCTCCGATTCTTTCGGTTTTCCCTAGTCTCTTGTGCTTCCTCCTCTCTAATCTCGACAGTCCTCTCCTATACCTGCCACCTTCTTTCCATCTCTCTCTTTTTGAGCTTCACTCACTACACTGCATGTACGTTCCTTTTGAGGTCCAGCCAAAAAGTGTTCTTCTCTCTCCTTTCTTCTTGCCTCAGGCTACATTTTCTTTTGTTTATTTCCACAAATTTGGAGAAGCACTAATACCTTACTCCTTTGTTTCACCCTTGGTTCTGAGAAGGGGTAAGCCTTCCCCCTCAAGTAGTAATGGTTGATATGGAAAGTTCTCGAAGACAACAGAAAGAAAGTAGAAGAATAGAAATAAAATAAGGAACTGTGAACTATATACAAACTACAATATGGCTGACGGCCACAATAATATGGCTTGCTGCATTAGCTGTGCCATCGACATTAAACCTAAACATCTAAATATTTCAACTTCTTTATTTTCGGTAGTTCTGACTGTCATGATATTCCTTTTTGAATAATCAGTAACAAATTTTGTCTTTTCTTTATGAATTTGTGGGCAGATTTTCAGAGCAAATCCTATGATACCTTTCAATATCTATAACAATAATAAAACTATGTGGAAAGAGTGTGTAATAAATGTTTTAATTAAACCATTCTTTGAAGTAGAAACAGTTCATTTTCTGATGACAATCTTGATTGCTATTTGATGCAAAAAGTAGAAGCACCATCCACAAATCCATTTTTGTTGTCTACATGACTACAGACATTTTCCACAGTTACTTCAATTTTTTAATCTAGTTGACAACCCACAAAATCTTTAAGATTTAACAGCACTCTTTATGTGAAACCCTCTTAAAAAGGAAGTTTCACATAAAGAGTGCTGTCAACCACCAATCAATCACAATTCTTTCTTCACAGCAAAAATGCTTGAGATTGAAAAATTAATAGGATTGTTGAATTTGTGGAAGAGACAAACAAAAATAGAAACAGCCTGAAGTTAATAACAGAAAGAACAAGAGAATTATCTGTGAATTACTGTTAATTTACAGAGAATTGATGAGAATGAAGCTTGTTTAAAAATTAATAAAAAATTTAATTTTTCTTAATAAATATTAACTAGAAATTAAGTGAAATACATTGCGTAATTGTGTCTGTGATAGTTTAAATACATTCTGGTGAAATGCTATATCAAAAAGCTACTTCAAGCAACAACAAAATAACATAATTGATGATTCTTTTATCATTTATTCTACAAGCAAATATGTACTTATAGAATATTCACAACACTTACACAAAGATAAACAGTGCATTATCAAATAATCCTTCATCTTTTTCCAATAAAAAAAAAACACTACAAGGATGATTGTGGAGTTTATTTTTTTTAAAAAAGATAATGTCTAAAGCACATGAAATTGTTTAAATTCTAAAAAATTATTTTGATGTTGGAATATTTCCTTTATTATTTTTAAACTTGAATGTTGTATTTAATGTACAGAGAAGAGTAACAAAAATTAAAATGATCGGCTTAAAAATTTTTAAATGAAAGTTTTATTATGAAAGTTTAGAAACCAAAGTATTCAGCAGAGATGGTGGTCAACTGTGCAGTTTCCATTCAAATTTGTCCTTATGTAATTTATTTAGGACTGCAATTAATTATTTTGAATGTATTTCCAGTTCACTTAAGTAACAAAATTATTTTTCAGTCCTACTGGAAAAAAGTTTCGAAGTAAACCCCAACTGGCAAGATATTTGGGTGACACTGTGGATCTCAGTACGTTTGATTTTCGTACTGGCAAAATTAATTCTATGCTCTTAAGGAAGAGTAAACGTCAAAGAGGAGCACAATTTGATTATAGTAGAGGTATACGAAATGACACTTCTCTTGTTCCACCTATAAGACAGACTGCTTCTATTTTTAAACAACCTGTGACGGTGGTAAAATCTCAAGAAAGTAAAGTTCGTACTGATTTTAAACATGGTCCGCAAGAAAAACCAAAACAGGTATGTTTGTAGGTTTAAATAAATAAATAAATATTGATTTAATAAAATTTATTATTATCTACATTATTAAATTTATAGTTGTTTTGGGAAAAAAGATTACAAGGTTTGAAAGCTTGTGATGTTAATGAAGAAGCATTTCAAAGTTTTGATTTACCAAAAAATATGAGAGGTGAGATTTTATTTAGAATATATAATACTTCATTTTACTTTTTTAAAAAAAATTATTTCTAATATTGTCTGAAATTAATTGGGCTGCAATTTGAAAAAATTGTAGACCTATAAATTCCCACTATTGTCCATCCGTCTGTCCATCTCTCCTTCCTTAATCTTCAGAATGAAGTTAGATAGATGAAATATTGTCCAGCTTTGTTAGAGAGAATAGCTGAGGGTACAAATATGGTTCAAGTTTAAAAATAAAGTTCTTGCCATGTAGATGAGTTCATTGCAATCAGGAATGAAAAATTGACAACCATTCAGGCATGGTGAACTTAACTAACTAAATAACTTTACTAGGTGGAGATGTCAGTTAAAAATGGAAAAATGTCTCAATAGTAATATTTATTATTATTATTATTATTAATCTCAATAAATTAGAAAGAAAATTTCAAAGTTATTTTACTTAGAATAATATATAATAGCTGATCTTTTTAACAAAGAATAGAAAAGAAAATAATTGATGAATTAATTAAAGAAGAATGGCTAAATATTTTTAAAATTCTAAAATGGGCAGTCTCTGAAAATTTAGAAATGAAAAAGAAAATGGACCAAAGAAAAAAGAAGTAGGCCCTACATAACAATCAACACAATTAAAAATATAATTATGGAAGAAACTGTTATCAAAAAAAGAAACAGAAATTTAGAATAAATTTGTTTCTACTGTAGAAAACAATCTGATAAAACCTATAAAAACTCAGAAGTTTAAAAACTTTGGATCAAAAAATAAGAAAGAGAATAAGAGTCAATGTGTCCAATAAATATGGTCACTTATTTTCAAAACTCATGGTTGTTTATTAGGAATAAATTAGACAGACACTAATCAAAAAAAGTCAAATGAAATATATTTTCAAACAAGAACTGCATGAAATACTACAAAACTTCAAAAACAATAAATTATCTAGTGAAGATAAAATCAAACGTTAAACTGATTAAATATGCTGATGAAACTTTTAAATTAATATTTTTGAATTTCCTGAATAATAGAAAAGAAGGAAGAGATTTACCAAAATCTTTGCAGAAAAGCTAGTGATCCTAATTTTGAAATAAAAAAAAAAGATTTTAATAATTATCAGGACATGAACCTATTAAATAGAGACTTATGTTTTAATATTTACATAAATTATAAAAAATAAATTAAAATAATTATTATGTTGATAAAATTGAATCCATTCTGACTGGGAAACTTGTCAATAATCTGTAGTTTTTGACATGTTGCCACTTTTCATCATTTATTATTCAATATACAGTAATCCTTCCATTTACACAAGTAGTTGTTTCCACAAAAACAGTACATAAATGGAGGGATTACTGTAAATGAACTTTTCCTACCCTAACCTTGAAAGCAATTCATCCCTCTTTAATTACAAACAAACCCAATGTCAATCCATGAAACCTGGGACAATTTACAGCAAAGTGAAATTTGCTATATTTATTTTATTGCTTTATCAGATCAAATTACAATAAAATAAATGCAAAATATACATTTTTGTTAGTCTAGAACAGTGTTTCGCAACCTTTTTCTACTTGTGGCACACCTATGACTCGACATGACTCAACTTGGCACACCAAAATGTTATTCTCCTCAAAAATGTATGATATGATACTATTAATAGACTTTCATAAACCTATATAAACCTTTCATAATAGACTTTCATAAACCTATTATTATTATTATGTTGAGTTTTGTGAGTTACACTCGGTTGACACCGATGTTTATGTACTATGCTGGACCAGAATCAAGGCATAGTAACTTCAAAACAAGACAAAAATTAAATAAGTGTGCAGTGTGTGTCTGTATTCAGGAATTTCTTAACAATATGACAGGTATTCAAAATAGTGGCCTTCTGTAGTGTGATGTATGTGTTTCTATTCAATTTTAACCTATTCAATGTTGAAATTTTTATTTGTTGCCTGTAACGCCATGTTGAATTTTCGTTGATGTTAAGTCTAAAAAATTTTTTTTTAAAATAATAATCGTGTTCATTGTATCATTAAAAATTATTTTTTTATGTTGAACAAACAAAATAAATATATTGAATAATATAGAAACAAAAAAAATTATATTTCAAAAGTTCATTTTAATATAAAAATTGTGACACATAGCGACATCTAGTATTAAATACGTTCCGATGTAAACACGAAAATATTCGGGTAAATATCACTTATGGTAGCTGTTATTTCGTTATGAATGTATGTCTCTTTAATCCGACAAATTAAGTTCGGTAGACTATCAATACAGCTTTCAGGTTAGACACTTCTTTTATTGTTTTCACATATGCATTTCAGGCACAATATATAACTGTCAAGCCCCTCTTCAGTGCAATAATATGGCTCTGTCTTCTAAAACCACGGTGTATAACGTACAACATTGGGAAGAGTTTTTAATACAGCCATTAAAAACATCTAAAATACACTTTCCAAACATTCATACGAAAAACCTACTATTAACGTGCTCATAAAATCTTATATAAGTACAACTTTTAAAGAATTTATATTTTCTACAACATACCGTTGCAGTAACTGTTATTATAATCGTTTTTTTACTGATTAATTACATGCATTATAGTGATATTAAAATCATTTTTAAGAGAATACATACATTATTTCATCATTTCACAATATATTCTTAAGTTGTACTTATATAAGATTTTATGAGCACATGTTAAAAGTAGGTTTTCCGTATGAATGTTTGGAAAGTGTATTTTAGATGTTTTTAATGGCTGTATTAAAAACTCTTCCCAATGTTGTACGTTATACACCGTAGTTTTAGAAGACAGAACCATATTATTGCACTGAAGAGGGGCTTAGCTGTCTCTTTAATCCGACAAATTAAGCCTGAAATGCATATGTGAAAACAATAAAAGAAAGCTGTATTCATAGTCTACCGAACTTAATTTGTCGGATTAAAGAGACATACATTCATAAGAAGAAATAGAGTTTATTCAGTTATTCATTTCGTTCTGGAGGGTGATATCTGAAAAGTTTCATTGCATCTTCTCAAACCGCATCCAATTAATTTACGTAAAGAACAAACAAGCTAGCTATCTTTTTTCTTTCCTTATTAGATAATATATTATAAATTGCAATTATAATGTAAATTATAATGGTGAAAACAACTTTTGAAAGTTATATAAGCTATAACATAGCGGCTATGTCATAGCCTATACTTAGTCACAGAAACTTGTGTGTACAGTATATCAATATAAAGTCTAATTTATTCAATGTCTTTATTAAATTACGTAATAATTTATTTCAAAATAAGTTAAAATGTACAGTTTACTTTAAAAATAATTTTAATTTTGATTTGTTTATTTGATTAAAATTTATATAACACGTTTCATAAAATTGTAATATAAATTTCCTTGTTTTCCTTTCCGTTCAATTACTAATTTCTGTAAAATATTGATACTATATAATTAAAATATCTTTTATATAATACAAAACCGTTATTAAGACACAAAATTTTAATATTAATTCTTTATTATAAATGTGAATAATTTTTAATTCTAGAAATTTTATATTAACATACAGATCTAGGTTTTTCGGGCCTAGGGATTATTGAAGTCTAATGGGGCCCCATTTTTTGTTAGATTAAGAATTATTACAATAAAACAAATAATACTTTAAATTATCATCATTATTATTATATTATTAACTATTTTTTACTATACGTTAAGTGCTCATTGTTAATGAAAAAGTATTAAAAATTTATGATAATTTAATGTTTGTGGGCACTTGATACTTGGGGGCCCATGGCTTAAGACCTATTAATCCCTATGTAGATCCGCCCCTGCATACAAATATAATTTTTTTTATCGTTTTTTCCTCTAGTAAATTCTTTCAATTAATTAATAAAAAAAATATATAAAAATAAATTATATTCTTTTAATTTCCTTTCTTATAATACTATAATTAAAATTTATCGAAAAGATATTATGCGNTAACTTAACAAAGAAACAAACTCTTTCCGTAAGGAACAAGAAATTGATCTAAAGTTGATTGTCTTACTCTTTTAATCAAAATTTTTCTCAAATGCGATAGCGCATTGTCGTTTATATTGCCATTATGACTGTTTTCTTTCTTTGATGCCATATTGATTAAATATATATAAATCACAAAACTGAAAAAAGAAGTATAGCACAAACACTTGGAAAAGCAATGCTTAACTCGCGCATGCCTAACACCAACTAAAATTTGACACAAAATACCGTTACGTTTGTTATCCGAATTTTGTTCGTTATCCGAGACAACATTTTTGCAAAATAAAAGTTCGTTAACCAATTTGGTCGTTAACCAGGACGTTCGTTAACCGGGGTTTCACTGTACATAGCAAAAAAGAAATGTCTAGAGTACAATCAGCGCTGCCGTACGTAGGAGCACCGTCCATACTTATTAGCCATATTTTCCGGCGATACAGCTTTACTCTTCCTTTAACACCCCTACCCAACCTACGCAGGAGTATATGCAATGATCGGGATAAAGTCGACGTTTTAGNTTCACTGTATCATTAAAAATTATTTTTTTATGTTGAACAAACAAAATAAATATATTGAATAATATAGAAACAAAAAAAATTATATTTCTAAAGTTTGTTTTAATATAAAAATTGTGACGCATAGTGACATCTAGTATCAAAAACGTTCCGATGTAAACACAAAAATATTCGGGATCGCCTATGCAGGTCAATGAGGTCAACACAAATATTTTCGGGAACAACATAGGACAGGTTAATGTTTCCAGGCTTTTGTGTAGCATGTGGTATGACACCTGTAGAGGAGAGAGCAACAGGTACAATAAGCACTCTATCCATCCTTCATAGATGCCTTATTTCCTGGGTGAGTTCTGTGTACTTGCTGATTAGAAATAGATAAATAAATAAAACTCACGCCAAAATTGTATAGCTTCTTGATAAAAAGCACTGAGTTCAGCGTTAATACGATTTTTCTTATATCG